GGTGTATTGGCTCTCCAATTAAGGTCCAATCATTTTAGTGGTAAAATCTCACCACAAATATGTGAAATGTCTTCCCTCATTGTGTTGGATATTGCACAAAACACTATCTCCGGTGATATACCCACTTGCTTTGGTAATATCAAAACCCTACTTTTCAACAATGTCTCACGCCACAAACTTTCTTTTGAATTTCTTTCATCATCTCCTGGTCGTTACTTAATCAATGATGACAGTCTTGAATTGGTTACTAAAGGTCAAATATTAGAATATGAAAAAAACCTACATTTTATGACCTTAATTGATATGTCAAGTAACAATTTGTCCGGAACAATACCTCCACAGATGTTTAGTCTCATTGGATTGCATTCCTTGAATTTATCCAACAACAAATTAGCAGGAGAAATACCAAATGAGATTGGAAATATGAAAAACTTGGAGTCCCTCGATTTTTCAACAAACCAACTTAGGGGAGAAATTCCTGAGAGCTTATCCAAATTATCCTTTTTGGGTTACTTGAACCTGTCATTCAATGATTTGACAGGCAAAATACCATCAGGAACACAACTTCAGGGATTCAGTGCACTTAGTTACATGGGCAATCATGATCTTTGTGGACCCCCACTTACCAAAATCTGCTTTCCAGATGATGAACATAAAGACAGAGAGGTTGTGCATGAAGGTGGAAATCAATTTAAATTTTTGACATGGTTTTACATCGGAATGGAATCTGGATTTGTAACAGGCTTTTTAGGAGTTTGTTGTACTATTTTCTTAAACAGAAGATTGAGACATACTTCCTTTAAGTTTGTTTATGACTTGAAAGATCGAATTCATATTATGGTGGTGACAAACATTAATCGCTTCAGTTAAGGTCAAATAAGTTACATAACAATACAGGTGAGTAGATCTTTTCTCTTTTTTATACAAATTTTATTTTAATTTATCTTTAAATTACTCTTTACCATTACTAAAATATACTTTAGTTCTTCATTTTTTTTCAATTATTGATTATTCTTTATATATTTTTAAATTATAGTAATATTTATATCTAACTTATTTGAAAACATATATTAGTGAATTGAGTTTAGAATGAAAACCATATATTAGTTTTCTCAACTCACATATGTCATAGCGTTATCTTAACTTTTAAATATGTCAGCGGCATCTTTTAAGTGGTTAAAGTAGAGTGAGTGAGTAGATCAATGTATTTTTTATTTATCAAAATTGGGTCGATAAAAACAATTGTAAAAAAAGTGAAAATATATTAGAATAATGGAAAGAAAAAATATCAATTTAAGACGTTTTATGGTGTATTAAAATTTTTTAGTTACTATAACTTATATGATAATGAATGCTTTCCTATTAATTTAGTTATTCTTATAAAATTCTTTCATTATTATATCTTAGGTATTATTCACAAAAAAGAGTACGAGTCATGACGCTTAGGAGAAGAGAACATGGTGGTATAGTTCTTACAGGCAATTTCAGCAGTGATGAACTTAAAATTTGGTTATTATTAATAGTTGGTGTATTTTGTTTTCTCTTTTTAAGTTACAGTGATGCTTTTCAACTTTATTTTTGTTTTTTCGTTTGTTCTGTGTTGGGCAAAACTGTTATATAAGGGTGTTGTAGCATTTAAGTGAAAGTATATGTTGTATGTTTTATATAGGAAATTGTATGTTTTATATTGAAATTTGTTTGCAAAAATAAACGAGGACGTCATGATTTTAAAATCAAAATTGCATTATAACGATGGATATAATGTTGGGTTGATCTTGCAGCACTTATAACTATGATTTGTTTAGATTATTAGAAAGAAATAAAGAGTAAGTTCAAATTAATTTATTCATTGACAGGTCTCATAATTTATTAATTTATGAGAAGTTATTGTACATGGTAAGGTCCAATCCGCTTTGAGGATTATCAGATACTTGATTTGAATTTAGTTGGTGCTTATCCATAAATCTCAAATAACTCCTTTATGTTGCTATCGTTCACATTAGATCAAACTAGAGTTGGGTATGCCAATCAGTCAACTCATTTAAGCTCGCATATATGCGAAACCCTCATTATAAAAAACATGTTCTTTTTATAGTCTTCATTTTAAACGAACTTTAATTTTTATAAACTATATTCCTCTACAAACCTGTGGATTGAAATGACTCGTTTTTTTAATATAGTATCCAACCAAAACTAAAAATCGTAATCTATTTGATTGCTAGTTGGACAATTTTTTAGTGGCTTTTTATTCGTTAAAGTAATTCAGCGTCTCACTTGGAGAGTTATTTATTTGTTTAAGTAATTCGGTATGAATGTTAGTTGTTAAGTAACTTAGTGCATCGCCTCGAGGATATTTTTTTAGAATGTTACACTTTTAAATAACTTGATGTTTCGTTTGGAAGGTTTTTTATTCGTTGAAGTAAGTCGGTGTTTCATTTGAAAAGTTTTTTTTTAATGAGTGTTACTTGTTTAAATAACTCACTACTTGCTTGGAAGATGTTTTATTCATTATCTTACTTGGAGGACTTTTTATGAATGTTAGTTGTTTAGGTAACTCGATGTCTTATTTGTAGGGTTTATTATTCATTGAAGTAACTCCATGTTTTATTTAGAAGACTTTTTATGTATGTTACTTGTTTAAATAATTCGGTATTTTGCATAAAGTGTTGTTTTGTTAATGTTACTTGTTTGAGTAACTTGGTGTCTCACATAGAGGACTTTTATGAATGTTACTTGTTTAAATAATTTAATGTCTCATCTAAAGTGTTTTTTTATTCGTTAAAGTAACTTAGTGTTTCGCTTGAAAAACCTTTTTTAAATGTTAGTTGTTTAACTAATTGTGTGTCTCGTCTACATAATATTTTATTCATTGAAGTAAGATCGTACGTTATACGAGGAGCATTCTTGTTTGAGATGGTTTCTCCTCGTTTCTATTTTCAAATAACAACCTGTAGACAAAGTAAATGCTACATGTTCCATGCTGGTACGCAAATAAAACCATTGCCTTTTACCTACTCTTTACTAAAATAGATTTTACACAAAAAATTAAGGTTTGGTAACAAACTAACAATTTAAACTAGAAAAGATAAAAGATTAATCTTATTCATGGAAGAACTTGCAATAGGGTTACTTATATACATGAAAAGAAGTAACAAACTTAAAAATAAAGAAACAGAATAAACAACAAATAAAGATAATCACGTATTGTAACAAATGCAAATTAGTTAGAAACGAATTTGGCTAATATGACGTCTATTAGTCCCCCTCAAACTGGAGAATGTATATTAAGCATTCCCAGTTTGCAAAAAATAGATCTAAATGGTGCAGGCGTCAAAAATTTTGTATAAATGTTAGTCAATTATTGTGTTGAAGGGATAGGCACAAGATGAATAAAGCCTTGGTTGAGTTTTTTCCGAACAATGTGACAATCCAACTCAATATGTTTTGTACGCTCATGGAAGTTGGGATTATGAGCAATATGAATTGTTGAGCGGTTGTCACAAAAAAGTGTCACAGGAAAAGGCTTAGCAACTTGTAAATCCTTGAGAAGATAAGAGATCCATTGTACTTCACACAATGTTACTGCAAATGCGTGATTCTCAGCTTCACATGAGGACCGTGCTGCAATAGTTTGCTTCTTGGATCGCCATGAGATTAAAGAGGAACCAATGAATAAACTGTTAGGCGATTTCGGCAAGCATACCGAATCGTTCAAGTAATAAACCGGTAAGATTAGGTATCGTTTTCCCAAGAGACTCGTAATACTAGAGAATTGTGTGATTAACAACTCATATAGACTCAAGAACATAAAATCGATTTACAAACAAGTGCAGAAACATAAATTCACAAGTAATTACAAGGTTGGACTTTGGTATTGAAGGCACTTGGAAATGGAAAAGACTAGAAATG